TGACCTTGCAAAATCTTCAATTATATCATTATAGCTTAATGAAGTTGCCAACTGAGCTTCAATATTCAGAACTGCCAAATAATTTAGACAATTATCATTAATCGAAGATCTGAGGATTCAACCCTTTTAAGAGCACTGAATGCGCCCTGTTGATGTAATTGATACGAAAACACAAAAATATACTCAATGTTATACTAACGTATGGATAAATATCCAATAAATTTTCATATTGAATGATTTTACACCAGTATAGAAAAGCAATTAAATATAATCCTGTTTTTGGAAAAAAAGCAAGCAAAAAAATTTGCTGATCACCCCCCCCCCCCATGCCCCCTAAAATACGCCACTGCGTACAGTACCTACTGATCAAATTGTCACAATGTCTTAGTATCCCGAACACTAAATACACTTTTTCATATTTGATTGACGACTGTTTTCTTGTATTTTTCATTGCACTCTGTGCACAGTTGAACATATTTAGTTAGATTTTCAATCATCACATATTAAAAAATATGGTTCATTATACTTTTAAAATATGGCTCAAAATAATCTACTTTTATTACCTCAAACCGCCTCAAACGGTCGACCATGTCAAACATGTTTTCGCTCATACATAGTTTTCTCATTAAATACGTACTTAAATTTTGTGATTTTTGTCAAACACACATCATTTTCTTCGTGTCGGCTTCACCCAATTTTAAACGGTGGCAAATTCGTATTCTATCCTTCAAGTAAACGAATATGGTTTCGTCACGACTTTGTACCCGATTGTACAACTTTTTCCTCAGTTCAGTAATCCCTGATGAGTAACATCTGCTTAATTGTTTAGTTAACTCATCCTAAGATGTTATAGTTCTTCGTGACGTGACCTAAAAACTAACCTACAGTATATGAGTACAAAACAGTGGTGTGTTTGTCAGTGGCGTAACTAAAACTTCAATTGCCCATGGCAAAAAAATCCAGCGGGCCGTTGCTCTTACAAATTTGTAATATGAAAAGCATGCACTTTACTCACACAATTTATATCTAGACCCTCTCCTGCTATAAAAGGTAATACATAATTAAAAACATATTTATTATACTATTGTGAATAATATGGTTATTTTTTATTACACATTATAATATGTATCTTATTTTTTTAAATAATATAAAATATAACCACTTATTTTAGGCAGTTTTGATACTCTTTCTTGTTTCATTTATTTTTTTACGCTTTTCATGGCCACTAGGTACTTTTTTTGACATGATCATAATATTAATTATTTGGTTCAACGAGTGACGACTCACGACTGACGACAGATTAACTAATGACAAAATAAATAATAATATCGAAAAACGACCGCTATTTCAATTTTCAGCCGGTCAGTATAGTACTATAGTAGACTGTATAGTGTATATTATAAATGATAATTGATAACGAATCTAGAAATCGACAGACTTCCGAAACTTCAATACGGTATCCTAGACAGTAGACTTAAGGCTATACTCTAAATATAGAGTGCGTTTTCTTGTTATTTGTGTTCCAGAATAATTATTATATTTATATATCTATACTATTATAGTAATATCGCAGTCGCTGCGCGTATGCGGGCAAACGCTGCACATAAATATAAATATAATCGACCTATAAGCGTGTTGCGTGTATCAATCATTTTTCTAGTTATTACATTTATTTTATTTTAAAGTGATTTAATTTTACTAGAACTTAGCTTTATTAATAATTAAAATTCTGTAATAACGGTAATCTGTTTTTTTTTTAAAACGCCACATTTTTTGAAGAGCCATCCCTGGCCTTCTGGGGGCCCCGGGTCCGTGGCACTTGCTTGTCATGCCACCCTATTGGTACATCACTGGTGTTTGTGCTTAATGTTCCAATGTTTTGAGGTTAATCAGATGCTTAGAATATGTCTAATCCTCTGGATTCTGCACCTTTAGTTTCCGGTATACACGACACCCCGTACAGCAAAAAAGTACGAAAAATAATGTGCTCGCATATAATATCCATATATTGGTACTCTATAGTACCGCGATTGTCTTCCGACCCTCCGTAGCTTTACAGTTGTTTGTGGAATACGACACTTCATTTACAATCTCGTTTCGGAGACTCGCACTATATTTTATACACAGTCAATTGTATGTGAATATTTTATTGACTTTTAGCATCAGTGTGACAGTGTTTAAATTTATAAAATAAAGATGACATTTTTTGAAAGTTTTTCTGGTGGTAAAAAACTTGCACTTGATGAGTGTTGATGTACGGCAAACATTAATAGTTCAACTACTATGCGAGTATACGATGGATGTGCGACAACAAATAAAAATTAAATGCTCTGATAGTCCAAAATAAATATATCTGTGACAAAAATATTGAATACAGTAGAACTTATATATATTTTCAACATTCTGCCAGTAAAAATCGCACTTTTAAAATCATATCAATAAAATGAAAATGTGTGTGAAAACTAGTTTTGATGTTGCTTCAAAAATAGATGTTTGAAAAAAAATAGGTTATTAACTTGTCAGTTGTCAGATAATGTAAAATATATGATTAAAAAGTTAAATTATTAATTATAGTATTTGTTATAATTTATAAAGTTACGAGAAAGTGATTTGTCTTATGAGATGGTTGAAAAATGATGTGGATCGTGGGTCATTTGTCAGATTACATTATCAACAATATAAACAAACTATAGCATTCATCCCACTCTGTTTAATATTAACTATCAGACATTAATTCCCACAAAATATTATTGGAGTAGGAAAAGTATCCTGTGGATTTGGTATCCATTAGTAGTGATAAGAGGTAGTTAATATTCACTAAAATAATTTGCATATTAAGCATTCCTATTTTATAATAGTACCTGTCATATAATGATAATATGCTTTGGAAATGGCCAGTTAAAGCAACAGAAGAAGTCGATCCCTCCGCCTGCTGGTTCCTGTCGCAAAACTTTAAAAGTGGCAACTAAAGTTAACTCATACCCACATTTTTCTGTGTTAGGTAATAATCAATTAAAGTCTTATTATTTAAAGCATAACTGTTTCATCTTTTTATCTATTACATTTCCACTTTATCAAAGGTTCTATGGGAATTTTTCCTAAACTGTAATATTTTGGTGCATATAATAGGTTTCTGTATTATTGAAGGTCCGATTAAGCTAGTTTTCATACGTTTACATACAAGTTAGAAGGTTACATTGTATATTATAATATCTTCATGCAAATTTTATTTTAAATAATTCATATAACGAATATAAAAATATTATCAGCGATCATAAAACTAAATCATATTATGCCTATTTTCTAGTGTAAATAAACTATAGTAAATAGGTACTTTTGAGTCATGGCAAACAAGTTTTAACTCAAATCGCTAAGTTGGTTTTCGTCCTAGAGTTGGTAGTATTACCGTCGTAGTATAAATTTACCGATGTATTGTTATCCCTATTAGCTCCCCTGGTAGTTATAAAAATACCGTATATTCGGTAATACCACTGATACTGGTAGTAAACAAAACTAACCTAACAATATAGGATATTGGTATCAACCATAGACATGTATCAACATTTGAAATACCGCCAGCCATTTTTCCCTTAATATTTATTTAAAAATCGACAGATAGAATAAGACAACTTTACCTATAAACCGCAAAAATGTTCTTAAAAGTATATTTGAAACATTAAAAATATATTAGTAATAATGATAATTGTAATAGTGTAATATTTTTATTTTATAATAGCATTGAGTACCTATACACTGTAAATATATGTACTCAATATAATATATACTCAATGAAAATACTTATATGAGCTACATTTATACTTACAACTACAAAGATAGGTTTTTAATCATTTCGATGAACTTAATGTAAGAAAATTAATTTAAATTGCAACAAAATTACAGTATAATTGAGAATGGTCATTTAATATATGATACCTAAGTACATACATAATGAATAGTTTTATACCATAGAACATAATTGTTACTATGTAGAATGTTTGGATAGGTATTAGATTATCGCCGATAGTAAAGGTCATTGTACTGACTTCGTTAGTATTGGATGATAAACATAATAATGTTGTTATATGAACAGTTTTTTATTATATTATATTCTTACCTAACTCAAATTTAATATATACCAAAGTAATACTTTTTGTGTTTATCAATCATTATTACCTATTATTATCCATCTACCTCTTATACTGCTTTGAAACGAAACAAATTATTTACCTATTTATTCGATTTAATTGTACGGAATAAGTGCTTTAAATATTTAAAACAAAAAAAAAATTGCATTAACGGATAGGTATTACAACAGATGTTCTTTAATTTTTAACAGTTTATTAAATTATCCATGCATTGTATTCTATTTCTGAAAAAAAATTGGTTGTTAACCATGCTGGAAGTTACGGCGATAATAATTTTTTTATCAATATAGACATTTGAACTGCACAACTATTGCATAACTTAAATCTCAACTTTAATTTTTAATCATTTAGTTACTTGGTTATAAAATACAAATGTAAGGAAAAAAGTTGATATGTTGATACTCTGCTGTACATAAGGTGTGATACTCTATCACACTATCACTGTAATGTATGTGTTGAATTTGAATTCAATGATATTAAATCATTGTTTACGAATTACGATTCTAAGCTAAGACAGACTGTTAGCCTATTTGATGATATTATTGTGATTTTAGTAATTTATTTATTATACTATTAGACATAGGTAGTACTGCAGTAAGTTTAATTAATTTTTGTCGAAAAAATTGCATTTCAAAATGTCATTATGTGTATAAAATATTATAATATTTTAAAAGTTTCAAGTCTCGAATAATATTTTTAAATTACAACAAAATAACTAAAATCGTTATTCTGGGTTGTAATATGTAATTTAGTTTAAATTTGAACTTAAAATTGTGTGGTGTATAGAAAATACTAATATAAACATTCAGTAAAAATGTCATGTAACTACGTACATTTTAGGTAGGTACCTATAAAACTAAAATAAATTACCTTTTTTTTTTTCAAATTTTGAACGTCCGGTTCTTCCCGGCGTTTTTGAAAATTTCTTGGAATATCACTTCCCGCCGGAAAAGATACTGAAGTTGAAAATCGAAGCATTATTTCGACTACTTATCGTGTACTCAGACACAAAAAAAAGCATCATTTTAAAATCAATACATCCATTGATCCGCTCAGAATCTAAAGATTCGTTAGAGATCGCTTAGCAGATCACGTGTAGCTTCGTTAGTTTAAAAATCAAAGTGAGTCGACCTATTACGAAATTTGATGGTAAGGTCATTGTCTGTATTTGTATATTGGTTAGATAGTTGGAGATAGTTTGGCCGACGATAGTTTTTATGTGAGTTATGAACATTTTGAATTTATGCTATATTATATACGCATAACTTGCTAAAAAATTGAACCATCGTAAAAAACCAACATATATGTGTTATGTGTATACAAATACAGACAACGTTCTTACCATCAAGTTTCACAATAGGTTGATTCACTCGAATTTTTAAACTGACGAAGCTACACATGATCTGCAGAGCGTAAATTTGCTATGTTACACACTTGTAAAGTTGTAAGACGGAGAGAATAAATGCTAGTGTTACGTCAGGCGCGGATCTAAAACATATTTACGGGGGGGGGCCATCTTAAATACAATTTCGGCCTAAGTATTATAAAAACATTGTACATACCATGTAAGCTAATAGATAAATATTATTATTTAAATACCAGTTTATCAGTACAATAAAATATATAAAATTATTAGATAATTAATAATAAATGATCACTGAACAAAATCCTTTCGTCTTTTAAATAATTAGATAAGTAATATAAATTGTTTAATTAATAATGACACGTAATATATAATAAATAATAATTAATAATAAAATATAATAAATATTAAAAAATGATCACAGAACAAAATCCATTCGTCTTTTAGATTTGGCAAATTCGTCAATTACTTCTTCACAGTCAATACTAATATTTCTATAACAGTTAAGTAATGCAAGTCCATTTAAGCGTTCTTCGGATATTCTTGATCGCATCCAAGTTTTTAGTCGGCGAAGAGAAGAAAAATTTCGTTCCGCAGTTGCTGAAGTGGCTGGTAATGTCAGGAGTATGAGAAAACAATTATAAATAATTGGAAAGGTTTCGGAATCACATCTTTCAAAAGCTTCTAATGATGTTTTTGGAATTTCTTTTTCATTTGTCCAATATGTATGCCACAATTGAAGCTCTCCTTCGAAATATTTTTTTACGAGGTCTTCCGATAAGTTCAAATTAATAGATATTAATTCACAAAATTGTGCCATCATATTGTTAATTTTATTTTGGATTTCTTTTTGGTTATTAAAAACGTCTTTATTATGAATAAACGTTGGCAAAATTATATCTAAATCAAACACTGACACTGATTTTTTATCGAATCTGTACTCAAGGTCGGTAATTAAGTCATCTAAAAATGGAATAAACAAAACGATACGAAAATAATCTTCTGGATTTTTAGTTGGTGGATTAGCTCTTTTAGTCATTTGTTTTGTTATTCTTGGGATTTTAATATCGTCGAAAATTCCTATTTTTTCCAAGCATTGTTTACTATTATTAAAAATTAAATTAAAATTTTCAACGCTGTTTTTCCGTTTTTCTTTTAAAACACTAAGTACATTATTTATTAATGTAGAAGCCGAAAATTTATCTTGACTTTTTGATTGCAAAATTCTACTTATTGGTGCAGTTATTGAAAACATATCGGACATAAGATTTAATGTTAAAATAAATTCCGCACTTGACAATGATTTTATTAGAATAGACGCTTTTGAGGACGTTTCAAGATCGTTCCATTCAGATATTTTATCTAATGCTTCAATAATTAAAACCAAATTCGAAGAAAACTGCATAATGGAATCATGTTTTTCGACCCACCTAGTTTCACATAAAGACTTTAATGAAGTATTTAAAATATTTTTTAAAACAAAATTTTTTTTAGCTGAAGTATTGAAAAAACTTACTACTTCTTTAATAATTCCAAATGCATTTCTAACAAATGTTTGTTTACAACCTTTCATTATTGATAAATTTAGAGCATGACTAAAACATGAACATTTTACAGCAAATTTCATTTGAGATTGTAATAATTTAATTGCACCGCATTTTTCAGATTGCATCACAGAACACCCATCTGTAGTTATTCCTACACAATTATTCATAGGTAAAGCTAAATTTTCTAAAATATGTATTACAGTTTTTCCTATTATTTCTCCGGTCATTTTTGGTTCAGTATTGACACTAGATTGATCGTAGTTATTTTTATGACAGTCTATAAATCTAATAAAGTCTTCATTTATAGTTTTGTCGTACACGTATCGTAAAACTATAACCAGTTGTGAAGTTTTAGATATATCAGTTGTTTCATCGAAAATTACGCTAAAATATTTTGCTTTATTTACTTTGTTCAATACATTTTTTAAAATTATATTTCCAATTATCGAAATAAGAGTATTTTGAGTCGTTTTACTTATATAAGTAGCTGTTGCTTCAGCATTTTTTAAATGATTTTCCAATGCGATATCTCCAGATAATATCTTAAACTTTAAAAGCTCTCTAAAATTTCCTTCGTTCTCTAATGGGTTATCAGATAGATCATTAACGCTTCCATCATCGCGATGACCACGTAAAGCAATATTTTGCCGCCCGAGAAAAATCAAACTTTCAACTATAGGTTTTAGTCTAGATCTATTTTCATTAACTTGTTTTAGGCGCTGTGAATTTATTTGGTTTACTACTTCTAGCTCTGGATTATTATACGATTTTAAAAATTGTTTTCCGTTCAGTACAGAATTTTTATGGTACAAATTATTATCATGCGTTTCAAGGTAACCATCCTTTCCTAATAACTTAGCGAATTTCTTTAAAGGCTCAACTACTAATGACTTTAATTGAGTATGGTTATTAAATCCATGACCAGTTTTATTATGAAAAATAGAACAATAAATACAAAATAATCCACTTTCTGAAGGCGAAAAAACAAGCCAAAAATATTTATTTATATGTTCTTGTTTCAAAAATCGTTTACGAAGAATTCCATTTTTTGTGTGACTTGAATAAGGAAAATTGTAACCTATTGGTGGTTTCCAATGATTTTCAAGTAACTGTTTTTTAGTAAAATCATCAATTGTTGATTTTGAACTTAATGCAATACCAATATCTATAATTATATTTTCTACAGTACCTTTGTTTTGATTTGATGTTGGATCAATGTCTACATTTTTCATAGGTTGATTTGACGAAATGGGAGCTGGGTCGTCTACCATTTCATTGTCTTTAATGACACATTTTTTTTTTTTAAGAAAATTTTGCATAAAATCGGCACTACGCTTTGACATTTTAATAAAATAATAATACAACTATACACGTGACACGTTTGATGTTGATTATCGACAGTTACAGCGGCTGTGTGCGTATTGTATCGTAACTATATGTCAACTAACAAATTATCATTACACAATAAATATCGTCAATAATAAAATAGATAGGTACTACATACAGCCAGACATTTTATTGCATCAAACAAGTTTAAATATTCGATTAGATTAGATTAGCTTTTTGACGGCGAACGATGAAAACGGAAACGGCCGAAACGCTATCGGCAAAACAATACATTTTATCGGCTGCCGAAAATAGATATAATAGAAAATCCACCAGTCTACGGGGGGGGCCATGGCCCCTTGGCCCCCTCCTTGGATCCGCGCCTGTGTTACGTCCCCTTAAATCGCTACATAATAAACCTACAATGGAATGTAAAAATAAGATGAACTTAATATAGGTAGCTTAAATAAACTGTTGTATGTTCTGTGTGTAGGTATGTTATTTTGTATATTGTATATATTTCAATCGCTATATAGTATGTACCTACCCTAACCTAATGTTGTAAGTTTTTAAAATTTTGAAAAAATATATAATATATTTATGTTGTTATTTTGTTTATTAGTATATAGTATATACGTAGTAGTGTACACAATTCAAGATAGGAAAGCCGTTTTTTTCGCGGGCACCTATTTTGGCGGGTCAAAGAGGTTATTGTGTTATCTCTTTCCTATTGTATTCATTTTATCGTTTTTTTATATTATAAGTGTTCAAAAAAATAATATTAACTTGTAAATAATTATAATTTATAAAATCTTTTAGCTTGTGTTATAATTACTTATTTTAGCTCTTAAATCGAGTAATTGATTTGAATATTTAATTACTAAATAATTATTGTTTTTTTTTTCGAAAAATCCTTTTGTGTAAAATAAATATAGTAAAATCAATACATTTGGCCGAAATCCAAACGTATTTTTGTATTTTACTTAGGTTTTGGTATTTAATAACAAATGTTTAATCAAATTATAAAGCATCGGATGAATATTTTATTAATTTTTAGGAATATTAAAGCGGCTTAAAATGTCTTGTAACTTAGCATTCTTAAGATATTATTTAGCAACAATAATATTCTTATCCTGGTTGCACAAAGAAATATTAAACATTTATTAAAATATATTAGCTTATGTTACCCTAAACATGATTTCGTAAACCACGATTAGGAACATTACATTTTAGCGAGTCATTAAATAAATACATTTTTAAAAAATGACCCGCCATTAAAAGCATAAAATATAAAAAATCTCACAATTCTAATATTCTACGTATCACATTTCCAAATAATGTTAATAATTTTTGTTGTACTTTTATCCTACTAAATTATTATTTGTTTGTTACAAAACTAAGGCTTCTTATCTAATAAATTGTATTCATACCTAATCAATAATCATAAAAAATGATTAATAAGAGGAAAACAAATTATTTCATTTATTGTAAAGAATATGCATATTACATTAGATGATTGTAAGACATTTTAATTTATACTGTAGATGAAAGAAATATTATTCAATTTATACAATTTTAGTCTACATACTTTAAGACGATTCTGAACGAATTTGTGACGTTTATCTAAACCGCTGTCTTCGATTTTAATTGGTAACTCGGATGATATATTGTCTGAAACATGCATTTTTTTTCAAACAATGCATTTCGATTTGAAATTATTATTTTTTAACTAATTGGATAAAATTAAAAATTGTAAATTTATCTTTACCCTTCATACATAACACATTTTACTTTTGTTCTATATGGCACCGCACCGACTACTGAAGTGTTATTAGTTGTTACTACTGACGCAGTTTCATTTTGAACACTGATAGTATCAGCCATCAGATAACTAATTACATAGGTACCCTATACCTACACAAATGAGCATACAATAATAACGCGTTAATTAACGGCGTATTTAGTTAATTTCTTGGACACTTATCGATAGTTTTAGGTTTTATTAAATTTTTCGAAGAATGTATCGAGTACCATTAACCCACCCCATTACATTACTTCTTACTACGTCGATAAAAATATGTGATCTGAAGCTAGGTATAACATATAAAATATTTGTATTGACCATTAGGACAAATAAAAATTACTTTCATAGTTGTTAAGAATCATTAAAATACCTAAAATTCAGATATCACGGAATTTTATTTACTTACATTTTATTCAGTTAAATACTTTTTTTTTAATTCCGGAACTATTATGCACAAATCATGCAGAAAAGATAACCCTGATTTATAAGCATTTTTATATTTTTGTTGTTCGATTATTTAGTATAATATATCACAAGTGAGATCATTATATGTACGCTTCATGACTTAATACAAATTACTGTAATTTTTTAGTGTATATTTCGAGAATTTTTAGTTTTTAGGCATTTTTTAGTGTTTGATAACGAACATACATTTTGGCTAACATTTATTGACAAATTTTAGAAAAATAAAATTAGTATGAATTTAATTTGGGAACTTTTTTAATTCATAAAAAAAAAAGTTGTAATATATATTTTTATTTAACATTTTTGATCAATTTTGATGTGTACAACTATATTAACTTAACATATTTAAAGCCTAGTAGTAATGTGCCTCGTAGCTACTAATAGCATCAATTGCACTAAAACATCATTGGCACATACATTGACTTATCCTACCCAACTAATAGAGACTTATTGTTGAAAAACTGTTTAGGTAAGAATTAATGTAATCAAATTAATCTGATCTTAAATGTTCCATCAGTTTTTCTTATTTGTAGTCTTTTAAATATTAGATATTATTTAATTGCATGTAAAATTGTATTTATTTATACTAAAATATGTTGTATTATATATTATAATTAGAAACAATTATTATTAAGGTTAGTTTTATTAAATTTCTAAAGTATAATTGGAGCTCTATTATGTTAATTGTGCATTCATTCGGTTTGGGCTCTACTACCTGAATTGTTTTTCTTTGATAGTACAATATATAATATACATTATACATATTATTATATTATTATGCAAATTGCTGGTTTAGAAGCAAAAATTCTAAATTAAATTTTTTCAATTTCCAGAATCCGCGGGGCTTAAAATTTTTTTCATTGGTAGGTACTTAGGTATATGGATAAAGAATAATTAAAATATAAAACTATTCCATTTAATTAGTTGTTAAGTGTGGTATAAAAAAGTTGTATGGTATCTTAGGTATTAAAATAAATCATAAGTATTGGGTATGTGTTTAAAAATTTTATTTTACTTGCTTTCATTTATTCCTAAGACTTTAAGATCATTTATTGGAAGTTTCTGAGTATTTACTTTAAACTGAAATTAAATTTAAGATTGTAATGACATTTCAAAATCATAACATAGAACTTTTTGTTTCCAGACCAGCAAAATGTATAGCTTATATATTAAAATAAATCATATAAATGTAAGTACCCAGACTCTCTTAAATAATGATGACTTGCTGGTATTACTAAAAATTTTTTTAAAACCAGTTTTAGATACTGAGAACTTTTTAACCCCAACTAAGTTTGCATCTATATATTTTATTTTAGTATGAAGCATTGTTTTAATAATTAATTAATTAATTAAATTTAAAAAAATATCTAATATTCTGCTTTCAGGGAAAATGACAGCTATAGTCCAGATAGTTTTATATTACCACACAAGTACATTGGAAGCCATCAAGAAGTACTATATTTATTCATATATATAATTAAAAAGTAAATTTTATTTATTTTATTATTATGATGTTTTTTTTAGCATACAGTTAAGTTATTGAAGAAGAGTCTATATACGTTGGAAAATGTAGCTAATATCTCAATTAATAAATTAAGATCAGATTTAAATATATTTAAACAATTCATACTTCAACAAAATTTAGAAATTAATATGTTTACTAATGATTTACAATCAAAATTTAACATTCAAACTTCTCATATACAACAGCTTATTCAAGTAAGTTTTTATTTTAAATTAAAATGTTGAAGAATTTTCATTTTTATTTTTACTAATAGTTATGTTCATTTCTTTCAGTATGTCGAAGAAAGTAAACGGGAGTTGGATCGTATGAGAATAAGAATAAATGAGCTAGAATCTCTTGTAGAAATGCACATAAAAAGCGAAGAACAAGAACGTCAGTTGCGTTTAAGAATGGAGAGTGAAAGAGATGAGTGGATGCAACAAGGATTAGAGCATGCACGGAAAGAAATAACAAATCAGTTAACAATGTCACATAAAAAAGAGCTAGAAATGATGCATGTGCGTTTTAAATTAGTCTCTAATATGGAACGTAGTACAAGTGAACAAAGCTTAGAAAAGAATAAGGTAATATTTATTAATAATATCTAATAGATCATAAATTATTAAGATAGATGTTTTTTTTATGCTGAGTAAAATGTTATTTTTTAAAATCTATATTTTTCTCAGTCTTAAACTTATTTTGTAGACTTCTATGTTATTTTTCATGACTATAAACTTATCACTTATCGTATTATTTATTGATTTTGAACAGAGATATGATGTTATTGAACTTGTTAATCATGAAGCAATGATGGCCCAGCTTAAAGAAGACTTGTTATTGGAAAAAGAACAAGCTATACAGGAAGAACGGAAGCAGTGTGAACAAAAAATAGCTCTGGAACGACAATTGAAATGTGATGAAAAAAAGGATGATCAAGTAATTGTCAGTAGTTTAAAACTAAATACTTTTTATAATTTTTTATTTAAGTTAAATTATATTTTATAGTAAAAATTAATTATATGTATATTTTGGGTTTGGTTAATTCACTTCTAAGGCGAACAATTTTAATTTGGTGGTGTATATGATAAATAAAAAAAAAATATTTTATATTTATTTTTCTTATATTTTATTTTTTTTAAATAAAAATACCGAATACCTATGACTAATAAATACAAATATCCAAAATATTATTGTCATTTCATGTTACTTTTTTTAATTAACATAATTTTTTTTAGTGTCTTTGGGGCGACAGCAAGAAAAATATAGATGATAAAACCAAGTCTTTTAAATATTTAAAGGAAAAAAGTACAAATGAACTAAGGTTAAGTACATATGTTTCAAAACCAAGATCAAATAGCTTTGCTGTACCAGAATGGTAAATTGGAGATATAATAAATAACATAGTTATAATATATCTATACGTATCCTTGTATTTAGATTTGTTTTCCTATTAAGACATTTATTTGCACCCATTTTTTTAAAAACAAATTTAGGAAATGAATAACTACATTTATATATTTTATTTGTCACTTAAATGGTGTGAAGTTATCAGCCTTTATATTAATTTGCATAAAGTATTCTTGCAATTTCAAAATAAATTATTCCATATAGCTTGTTAAAATTGAAAATTATATACTACATGAAATTTAATAAGACCAACATTAGGCTCTGTATCCTGTAGTATTTTTGTCTGTATTTGTATAAATTATACTCATTTTTATACCATACTTTTATGTGTTATAAATAGGGATATTGATTCTAGTTCAGCATCAAGCAGCGTTTTTGTGGATTTGGTAAATTCTTATTATAATTTTTTTTACTACAAATTCTTAATATTGTTTGATTTATATTATATAGAGTAAAAGTTCAAGTTCGGAATCTGATGAAGGAAAACTTTCTGTCAGCTCGTAAGTACATTTTATCCATACTAATATATAAAACAATATATATAAAATTCATAGTTTTTAATATACTAATAAACATTTTATTATTTAGTTGCAATGTTGGAGACTATGTTTTGGTTGTATGGGATTCTATTTATAGAAACTATGTTGTATATCAAGAAAACAAAAGAAATCTGGTATTTTTACATCCTGACAGCATAGACAACTTATTTTTAAAACTTGGTCCTGGTAAGTATATCAATATTAATTGATAAGTTATATTTTTTTTCAGAACTCTTAATTTGTGACCTTAAACCAGACCATAACAAAATAGGTATAATCTACGAGGCATGAATAGACAACAAAATAAACCTGTTATAAAATATTTAGATTTAAAAATTAATGTGAATGTGTTTTGACAGTATTACCTTAAATTTCATTAAACATTTCCAATTTTTTTTACAATTATTAGAATTTAATTGAAGATACATAAAGCAACTAACTAAATTCAATATTTTAAATTAAAATTGTTAGATCCTTTTAAACATAAATTGTATTGTGTGTGACAACTGAAAGATGTTGGCATTTTATATCATATTTTTAAAACACAAGAATTATATGAGTATATGTAATATAAGGCTCATACTTTAATGTACTTAACTTAAAATGTATAACATTATTTTATTTATAGATGAAACACCAAAATTACAGCACTTTTCTGCAGAAGTAATACAGAAAGAATACTGCCAAGCAGTAAAGGTAATTGAATTAAAATATTTGTATGCATCAATGTTTTAGATTCTTAGCAAAGTTAAATAGCTATTCATTTTTTTTAAACATTTTTGAGACAGTAGTTTTTTATTGATGGAAATAGTATTTAAACAATTTTAATTTAACTTTTCTACAGGAGGACAATAGATATAAAGTTAAAAAAGGAATGAAATTTTATCGAGTAAAAATACAACCGCTCAAAGTGCCAAACCATCGACGAGAAGTATCAACTTCAGATAGTTCATCTGTCTCAGTGACTTACGTTCAATAATTGAAAAACAACGATGTGATACTTATAAATAGTTTATGATTAATTCAATACTCAAGCTAATTAGAAAGTTTTAAAATCGATATTTTGCTTTTCATAGAATAAAATATATTGTTAGGTTGGTTAAGTCACAAATAAAGACTAAGTTGTGTAGTATTGGTCCATTTAATACATAACTGGTTTAAATTTTATATTTATATATAATTCTAAAATGTTGCTTTAAGTAGATTTGATATTTTTACAAAAATTATAAAACTATTTTAAAAATATGTATGAGTATAAAAAATATTTTCATATATAAATAAAATAACAATGATTTTCTTAAAAATAACTTTTGTAGCATTTATGGATTCAACAATTAAAATATTATATTTTAATCACTCGATGATTCTCATTTTGTTCACATTATAATTTTAGTTATTATTTTTATTGTTTGTTTTTTACTACAATTTATATTTTAAATTGAATCTTAAAAACATTATTTTTTAATAATTTGTCGTTACCCATATTTATTTCATAATTATACATATTTTAATATTATTTGTCACTGTATACCTTTTATATGCACTTAAAAAATCCTGATAGAATTGTTGATATCAAAAATTTAGTAATTCAAAGTTTGTGCAATTTTTGTTATTTTGTAATTATATTTAAATGATTAGATATATTATATATTTTAAATTATTTCATGTACACCTTACTTTTCTAACATAAAAGGGTAAATATTAATTAGATACATATATTTATATTATATACAAATTTTAAGAATCAAGTTATATTATTAAGTATAGTGACAGCGTGTCTCATAATGCATTACTAATATAACGTGGTAGAGTGATTACCATTTATCACATAATCTTAAAGTAGTCATTTTTCAAGGGCCATTGTTTGTTTATGTAGATATAATGTGCAGTTATACGTTTGTAATTTTTTATTTTGTACTTACGGCCTTAATATATTTAAATATTTAGAACTAACAGTTAAAATATCATAAATTAAAACAACTATATAGATTTATATCCGAGTATTTTTTTATGTTTA